AGCATTTATTAAACAAAGAAAGAGGGAAAAGAATACAAATGTATAGTGGCGCAGTGAAAAAAGCATATGTAAGAGAGAGAGAGACAGACAGAAATCGAGATTGATTCATGAATTGTAAATCGCAGAAGCTGCCACGCTCGACGGGATGTAAAATTTTTAATCTCGCTGAATGCTCAAGCCCACGTACAACCAATATACATACAAAACTTGTATACAGGCAAACTGTATAAAATAAATGATGCACGCGTGCCACGGTTAGTTTGCTCAGATTTTCGCTCTATCGATTAACGTGCGCGACAGTGTGTGTGTCTCCGCATATTTGTATTATCGTGTTGTAGCAGCTGATCGCGATCTCGCGAGTTGAAGTTACTGTGTTGGCGACTTTCTTCCGGAAATTAAAATCTCACCCGCGACGACGACAACGACGACGACGACGACAACGACAACGACCAGTTGAAAGTTCCGCAGCCTACAATACAACGTTGCTTGGTATTAATATACTTGGCTTTCCATTCGAAAAATGTCAAATATATGTAAATATTAATTCGTTGATGAATCCGCACGGGATTGGTTTCGAGTGAGCCTTTAATTTGAATGTAAATAAAGCGAGCTGACGATTATACTTGGAGGTCGGCTATGATTGTATAGAATGCGTGCGCTCCACGTGCGCAAGTGCATCCCGGGCAAGGCGTCCAATAGTTAGTTTCGCGAATATATGCCGCTCGCAGAGCTGTAATTTTATGTTTCTAGGTTTATGAATTTCCAATATTTCATGGGCACAAAGGCCTTTCTCGGCGGCCGTAATTACACGTAGATAACGTGTGCGCGCCTGCTATCGAACACTCGCGTTTGTTTATGCACTTGTAAAACCTCGTATATGAAGTTGCGAAATTGAGCTCGCATCTGCACCAAAGCTAATATTTCTTCGTCGTCTCATTTTCTTTTTCTCCTCCCGTTGGTCCCGTGTAAAAAACTTGGGTTTGAAAGTTTGATCGCGTTAGTGTGTGCGCGCACGAGGTTTCGTAAAAATTGTTGTCGAAAACTACGAATATTTGGACCGGAACCCCGATATTAGCCCGATATCTGCGATGAGCGCGCTCCAAAGCTCCAAACTCGAAATATCAACGAAGCAAAGGGAAGAGAAATATGAGTTATTACCGATGGAAATCAAGGGTGCATCAATCAAAAGTTCAGTTCTTTTTCTCTCCCGATCTGTACTTTAAAGGCTATTCGCGAAAGCCATTTTTTTGTCTCTCCCAAGAGGATATTGAATTTCTTTTTTCATCTGCGGCAGCTCTCGCGCCTCGGCAGCAGCACAGCTAAGACAGATCGCTTTCGGTTGAATACCAGATGAGGTATTGATCTCGCTCGTCCCCCTGGATATAATATTTAACAAACAAAAGCCCACTCGGATGAGTGTATTTACACTTAACGAAGCTATATCCGCGAGCTGATTGATCGATTAGGCAGTATTAATATTGTACGAACAGAGTAATGAGCCTGTGGAGATTAATTTTAAAGTACCACTGCGCGTTCGCGCAAGGACAAGTTTGGGAGGAGCAACTTTCGACACAGTAGTTTGAGTTTGTCACTCGGGGAAGAGACAGATACGGCGGCTGCCTCGCACTTTGATTGATACTACGTGGTATTAGGATAGAAATCTTGTTTTCCAAGTATTATGAATGCGCCTTCGTACAATGGCAAAAATATGTCACTGCTCTAAACTATATAATGTAGTTGCTTCGAGTGACAATACTTACGCGAGTTGATATAATTCGCATAGAAAACCAAGTTGTTTCCTTGCACGCGCTCAACTAGCCCCGAAACTTTATGATCGAGTAGCTTTTACCTGGGAAACTAATGAATATTTAATAATCTTTTCAAAATGTCAGACAGCGTGCGCGCAGCTGCATGAAATGAGACTATGCGCGACTGAGCAAAAGCTCCTAAAAAAGTAGCTCGAGCGAAAATTATTAAAGAATGGAAAGTCAGCGGTGAGAAGAGAAAATCATAAAAAGTTAGTATTAAAAGTTTTAAAGTTTCATTCGGCTGGCGAGTCGAGTCAAAAAAAAATGGTATTCTTTAAAGATCGAGGACGCTCTCGCGCTTCTCGTTGAGTGACAAAAGCAAGAGCGAGAGAGAGAAAAGAGAGGAGAATAGGAGCTTGAGGTCTTCTCGCTTCGCTTATTATTACATTTTCGTCTCTCGTTGCGTCGTCGCACGCTGAAAATCTCATCCTCCCAAGTGGATCTGTCCGTTGGCGCTAACGCGACTTGACTCTGGACGTACACCCACAGCTGCGCGTCACCGCTGATGTTTTTGCGTGTGCGCTTTTGGCAAGCGAATGCTCGTCGCCGTTCGTCGCCAAGGAGTTCGCCGAGGCGGAAAAAACGGCGGGGTCGCTCGAGTAGAACTCGATGCCCGACAATTCCATCACCGCGGGCGATTCTCCTTCTTGTTTATTCGACGCGACTGGTCGGCGGTCGCGGGAGGCTATCGACGCGTTCGCTCGGCGTTCAAATACAAGCGCTGTCTCACGGGGGTTGGCGCATTAACGAGCGCGGCATTATTTACGCCGCTCTTGCCGACTGCAGCGGCGGCGGCGGCGGCGGCGGCGGCAGCGGCGGCAGCGGCTCATAAACCTTCATTTGGCGAGGGCGCGAAAATTCGAGCGTAAAATGCAACTAAATACGAAGAAAAAATGTAGCGAGGTAATTTTCGCGCGTTGAGCTTATTTGCCAACTCTGCGCGCAGTGCAAAATTTATCTATCGCACGCTGGCTCGACCTCGGCAGTCTCTTTACGATATTGCAGGCAACACCGGCGCGAGCTAGTGTACGCGAGCGCATCGCTGGGACTTGATTAGAAGTACCTGTTCGTTGCTACGAAACCGCGTAAAAGCTCGACAGGGCGCGAACAGAGTCTCGAGCTTCCAAGTCGGAATTTCCAGAGAGCAGGGCAGCACCTTCCTTGTTCGAGATATGTTGCGGTTTTGTGACGCCTCCGCGCATCCGGTCCGCGTTGTAAACACCCACGACACAGCACTGACGGCTACGAACAAAGTTTTCATCTCTTGCTTTTTGCGAATCGACGCGCTCTATGGCCGGATACTTGTCTCTAAAGTTTCGCCCAGTCAACTATGCAAATCGACAACTTTCTACGGTAAAAAAATTACGCATTGTCAGCGCGCACAAAAGTAACAGCCAAAGACCTTTTCGCCAAATCTACGCTCTGTTGATTCTGTAAACTCTGATAGACGACTCGTGTCGACACGACAATGATAAATGAAACGCGACTGAGCACATAGGGCTAAATAAATTTATGCACGCTCTCTCCGCAATTTGTTCACGCGAAATTTTCACGGTGGTGTTCCATTCATAATAGGAAATCTGCGTCAATTATCGGCCGTTTCGCTTCAGAAATAAATTCTCGCGCGGCTGTGAAAAAATTGCAAGTACCGCGCAATGGCGATGTTTACGAAAAACCATCCGCGAAAATACATAGGCGACGTTGTGTTTCACAAGATAAATTCGACTCATAAATGTCGACAGAGCAAAAGAGAAATAACAAATGGTCAAAGTTTGCGAAAGAGCGCCATTGCAAGAGAGCGCACGAGTGTACGCAGTGCAGGAGATGCACTATAATGCACCACTGAACCGATTTTACTGCCTCATCTGCGACGATTTTCCCGTCTGTTTGAGAGTGAGTTCTCGTGGCTGTCTATTTGTCTCGGCTCAGCAATTATTTGGCTGTCACATATATCGCAAGCTCTCGAGATATCTATTGTAGCGAGCTTTTTCTGTTTGGCGTAGCCCGAGTCGCGTTGGCATTTGTGTTCTCTCTCTTTCTCCGTTAGTGGTGAGCTTACTTCGCGAGAGCACATTAATGAGAACTTCTTCCCTTTATCTCTCTCGCTTTGTACGGTTGACCGAGCTTGGATAAATCCTCGAGAGTTATACAGGCACAAGTAGCAAAGATTACCCGCTTCAGTCTGGAATTTCGGGCTGGGAATCGGCTCTATGGCGCACGCTCGCGTTAGCGTTCGGTGCGCCGCAACGCGTGCCGTCTTTTAACCTGATTTCCAGCGGGCCATCGATGAAATATAAATTGATTATTCGCATCGGATAGCGGCATTCAACCCAACTTTTTCAATTACGCTGCTGCATCGCATCATTCGCTTTCAACAACTCAGCGGGGATTCAGTTCGCGCAATCAGCTTGTCCCTCTGCTGTTCGACTCGAATATCGCGATAAAGAATGATAATTTGAAAACTCGCGTCCAAGTTTTCATTGTAAATATTCGAGAGCAAGAGTGAATTTTCTGAAAGAGCGCAGCAGGTGCGCGGAAAAACTGTCGAATAAAATGTATGATTGCCTAACTGGATAAAAGCTTGAAAAGTTCTATTAGCGCGAGTGGCATCTATACTCGTTAAAAAAGTCCTGTTGCTTCGGGAAAACTTGAAATGAGAGTTCAATAATAATGAGTGGACGCGTTCAAATACCGATTTGCAACTTTAATCAAGTTTTAGAACTAAAGCCATCGTTACCCGCTAAAGAGCTTGGTTCGATTGGACAAGTATTAGCCGTTAGCTCGATGTTATTTAACATTCAATCTTTGATCGGTACTATTTGATCCTCTCAAACGCTACTCAATAACTGTTCCGATTCAATTTATTTCAATCTCAATCGCGTTTTTCCCGTGAAATATCTTCAATTCGTACATTTTTCCTTATAATTTTCTAAAACTCAACATATGTACACACATGTACATACACGCGTGCGCAATCTCGCGCACAGCTTGAATTGACAAGAACTTTATTTAATCCCGTTAGATTTGGAAATGGACAGAAAATCGTTTAAGCGTTCGGAAAGGTATATTTAATTAAGCCTTCAAATGCAGTTACGTAGCACGCGCGAAAGCAGCAATTCTTTTGGTCTCTTCATAGAAAAGCTAAATTGAAAATAGAAAATACAAGAGAAAGAGAGAGAGAGAGCCACATACCTGAATTGGGCTGTCCGTTGCTGTTGGGTCGCTCGCTCGGTGCACCGTCGCGAGCCTCCACCTCGAGGGCGTAGGCGCCTTGCTTTTCACGATCGAACACGACTTTGGTGAAGATCTCACCCGACTCCTTGTTGATCTCGAAATAGTCCTTGCCCTCGTTTCGATCACTGTCCACCACGTAATACGTGACCTGCACACATTCGTACAACGTAACAATTACCTTTCGTACAACCCAGATGCCAAGGGAAGGATCTCGAGTGTTTTCCAGCTGTCGCTTAATTAGTTTGCCTCTCGCTCGCCTGCCCAAGCTCGTTTATAATTTTCTCGCGGCGTGCTCGAGAGGAACCCAATTTACGTCGATAACGTGATCTTGAGAAATCGGTCGGGTAAATGCTTTTTTGTTTTGCGTATTTACTTCAAGTCAAATAATATTATAATTACATGACTGCGACTAGTTCGGTTTGCATGCATTTCAATATCGTTAGTTTATTTACAAAACGGAATTTAATCATTAATTAATTAAATATTTGCAGCAATTGAACAAATATTTTCATAAAATAATCCTTTTGATGGAGTCGCACTATTCAAATTTTTGGTTGGTTGCAGATATAGAGAGTTAATATTGGAAATGAAAATCATGTAAATTTCTGCAGCATGTGCTAAAGTTCATATACGTAATATATCTTGTTTGTAAACTGTTAACTTTCCATGCAAATCCATTTAAAGTATAGACTAATAAAATGTACTGTACAACTTATTGCTACAATTTTTATTTGTAGAACAGTTCTTGTATTGAAAAGTTTCACATACGAATGATTCAGTTCATGCAACAAATGTAATACTTTTTGAAGAAATTTATAATGAACATTTCAATATACAGAAAAGACAATCCTGTCTTGTGGAAATTAAACTTGAATCTCTGTAAGCAGTAAATTTCAGGTGCTTAGGTGGCATTTGGCACACTTGAATTCCATATAACCGAATAAAAACTCGATGCATTTTTATTTGCCAAACGTATTCCAAAAATCAGATCTTGATCTAAAATAATTGTGAGCATTTTTTAAATGAATGTAATTACCAAATCTCACTGAAAAATTTATAAAAAATTTCCAATCAAATTGTACAATTAACTTTTTTTCAATTCATGTTCATAGAAAAAATTATTTACAGAACAAGAGTAAAAGCGATGCACATACGAACTATAAAACTTTTTGAACCATTCAATTAAATGCGCGCTATTTATCGGCTTTTCAGTCATTTTGCCAGGGCATACAGAGTAAGCTTTCCGAGAAAATGAAAAATGAAGCCCGGGAGCGGTCCATGAATTTTCCCTAAAAAACATTCGTGCACCGTGTTTCCAATGACGAAAGTTGGAAAACATTAGCCAAGATGCAATTTTGAAGCGACGAGAGCATATTCAAATATAATTTCAGGCGTAAACGACTAATGGTCCCTAAAACATTGCGAAGCGAAGTTACGCCGAATGAACTGACCTTGTTATTGGGAAAGGTGCCGTCCTTGTCGATAGCGTTGACTTGAGTAACTTTACTTCCAACGGGCTCACCCTCGAGAACAGTCTCTTGTTCACGTTCAGTGAACAACGGTATCTCGTCGTTAACGTCTTCCACCATAATGTAAACGGTCGTCTCGGAGGCAAGTTGTTGAGCTCCATTATTCTAAAAATAAGAAAAAAGTTACGAGTGAAACTGGTCCATCGATTCGATACATCGTCGTGGATTTCTTATCGTATTTTTGCGCTCAATCTTGCAGTTACATTTTTCACGAGGTCAATATCCGTAAGGGCTTAACGCTCTCGAGTGCGTATAGCCAATTAAAGAAATAGCCGTTAACCGATTAAAATTTCGAATTCTGAGCTACTGTAACCTGCACTGGCTGGTAGACGTAGCTTTCCGATTCGTTTGTTAAATGTTAATCAGATTACGCGTTGGAACATTTCAATTTCATTTGCTGCTACCAAAGCTTCGCTTCACTGAATTGCCGTACCGATTTACGAGAAATCAATAACTCTCTCGGCGTACATACCTTCATTATTGCGTATTATAGAAGTGAAATCAAGTTTGTGCTATTAATTTTACGAGCTATAAGCTTTGATAGCTCACTGAAATGATAGACCAACTAGACGGGCAAATTGAATAGCGCCTTAATATTACAAGCTGGGAATACGAAAACGAAGGTACAGTTACAATTTTGAAAAAGCGATTCATACCTCGACACGAACAGTGAGATTGTATTCCTTTATGCTCTCGTAATCCAGTGGATGATTGACCTTTATATCAGCCCAAGTCACGGAATTTTCAGGTCGCTGCTGCAGGTAAAACGTATGCAGCTTGTTGGTTTGAGCGGTCGAGCCGGGCATTAAGCGGTAAAATACTACTGGATTATTTTCGATGCCAGAGCTGTCGACACACGAAGAAGAACTTTTAGGTCAAGTGCCGTGGCGCTTTAACACCAAAAGTCGCGCGACGTGCATGTTTTGCTTTCTTTACCCTCTCACAATTAATTACGGAAACGGATAACAGAATGCAAGAACGGAAATCAACTGTTTTATTTTTTCTTTTTTTTTCAACACTTTTTTATCTTTATTCTTGACCTAGCTATTTAAAGTTTTTATTTTCTGAAAATAATATATCTTCTGTCATAACGTGATTTGTGCTTTTTCGTTTGATACGGACTTGCCAATTTCACAAGTTGTGATTTATCTAGCGAAGGAACGAAGCTTTCAAGAAGCTCGTTATAACGTGCTACGAATAAAAAGTTACGTAGTAAACTTGAAAGCACAAATTGAAAAGTGTGATGTAACGATTTAAAAACAGAAATAAAAAGATCGGCATGCAAATTACTTGTTATATAATGATCAAACTAAAAAGAAATGATACTTCATCAAAACTTCGAGTATGGAAAACAGATTCTCATACGTCTAAATAGATTACCAACACATGATAAATTATAAATTGATTTATATACCTAACGCGCCACAATTTTCTTTCGTCTAGAAACAATGTACTCTTAATTATAATAAACGTACGAAATTAAAACTCTCTCATACTACTGTTAAAGTACTTTCCCATTCTCCGACTCATTTCCTATCCGTTTCGGCAACTATATGGCTATATAAATTGTGTGTTATATTCATTAATGTTAGAGGTTAGTTGTTTTGGCGTGTACGCAGCGTGAAAGTGATATGTAGAAGGAAATAGAAAGAAAGAGCGTGTGTACAATATATTTCCACTTTTAGTCAAGCAAAGCTTTGCCTAATTAGCCTCTGTTCGTCCGCTCTCGCCGACAGCATTAACAGGAACACAATTCACGAATTATTTAGACATACGCTCGTATTCGAAGCTCAGTTTAACTTGTGTTCATATTCAAATGTTACCAGAGAAATCTCAGTTTAATGCATGAGAGCCTCTTTTCTGAGTTATAATCTCTTGACATTAAGTATACCAAATGATGCGCATTGTGATTTTATTTCTGACTTTCGAGGATTACATTGACTTTAGATTCCCGAAAATTAGTATTAATCAATTGCAACTACCTTGAATAATACCAAACATTAGGAAATATTTGTATTTATGTACAGAAAGAAATATATTAACGCTTACAATTGAATTCATTTTCTGGACATTTCCTATTCATTTCCAAGAGAATTTTGTTATTTGAAATCCACTTTCAATTTTACTACGTAATTTGAAATCGTAATAAAACACGCTCGATTCAGTCGAAATAATATATTATTTAAATCCTTCTTTACGCGTGATATCGTAAATGGTTTATTTTAACAAATTACGATTTTTTCGAAATTTAAACTTGTAACCATAATAAAATTACCGTGGGTAGTTTGAACTATCAGAAATAGAGAGAACGAGAAAATTCGGTCAGTAAACTATAAAATTTTACAATCGCGCGACATCAGATTGTCGAACAAAATGCTCGTCAGGTGTGTACGAAACGACTACTCATCAAAGTCGAAAATGACTTTGCTGACCGAAATTAGTAATTCTCTTTGAAATCAGAGGAAGGGTAAATGACTAACATAAAAATTTAGAGACGGGAACTTATCGCAAGGTGTAACGAAATGCGAAATGGCATTTCTAAGTAACTTGGATACTTTACGCGAAACGTGTTTGACCGAGATAGTCCGGCAGCTCGTCGTTTCACATTGTCGGCGATTTTTCAATTTAAAAAGTCAGCAAAAATCCCCTCTTGCAAGTTTTCCTATTAATCATTAATGTGTAGAAGCTTTGCTATCGTAGGAACTCGAAACTTTATCTACCGCGTTTCCACGAGAAAAAAGACTGCGGCTTTTCACGCTTCAAAGTACAAAGAGAAAAAGAGAAGTAGAGAGAGAGAGAGAGAGAGAGAGAGCGAGAGAGAGAGAGGTAGAAAGAGGGAGAGAGCAAAAGAGAGCTGTTAGTATGGATGAGGGTGAGTGTGCTGCAGCTTTCGCGCCACCGTGTAGTGCAAAATATACGCGAGTACGTTTGTTTGTAGAGGTTATATATACATATAAAGTTATTTGCATCCTCCACCAACAGAGCATGAGTGCTTCAAGCTCCTCTAAGAAAACTTTTACGCGACTTTTGCATTATTATTATACGTGAACTATGCACGCCTCCTCGCAGTCTTTAGTGTACTTTTCTACATGAGAAAAATTTCTTCCACTGTTTTTCATGCCATTTTCTTTTCAATTTCATGTCTGCCCGCGAACTGATTTTTCTGCTACGTTAATCTAATTTACTCCTTCGACTTGCAAACATTTACGCTGTTTTTCGAGACTCATTCCCGGACAAATTTCTTTAAATTTAATCCATAAAATTGTACGGCACCATTACTTTAATTTCGATTTAAATAAATTTAAAAATTGAAATGTTTAGCTGTAAAGCGGCTTGTATCTCAATACTACCCTTACTAATTTACACACGGTTTGTTAATTAAAAAATAAATGCAATATTTTACGTTTGAATATTTTTTCGTGGCATTGACTAAACAATTTTACAGTAAACTACCAAAATCCATAAAATATTTCTATAATTCACTAAAAATACCTCGCCTCCTTCTTATAACTGACAAAAAACTTTCGATTCAAAAAATGCTATCCCTATCTCAATGAGAAAAGTAACTAAAAAAACTGATAAAAATTTAATAAAAAGTGATGAATTTTGAAAAATACCAATCAGTATAACAACAAAAACGTGGTACAAAAATTCCACTGCAAAAAATTGCGTTCCAAAAAACAAAGCATCTAATTTTGAAGCATGCCCAAAAATACGATCGTGGCACAGCTATAAAAAAATTCTACATATAAATACCTTTAATCACTCTCACCAAAAACTGTCATCACCAACGCGATAATCGAGTTGATGATAAAAATCTCAAAAATCATCAACTTCATGTATATCTTAAGTTCTTTAAGAAAAAATATTAAAATCGAAATGATAAAGGAAAATTTATTAAAAAAGCTAGAACCTTTTTCCGACAATACTCACAATTACACATAGTAATTAAAATCCAATCACGTAGAATTTTTTTTTAAATGTTGCTGCTCTCTAAAACGTTAGTCTTGTATCTGAATTTTCGAGAAATGACAATCGTGAAACTTCTTTGGATCCATTAAAAATTAAAACATTTCACTTAGTGAATGTCAAAAGTTTATTTTATCAAAAAGTAATTAAAACTTTCGATTAGATATGTAACAAAATTACAGATATTTTTCAAAACTTATAATAAAGACAATCGTTAGAGAGCACGTAATATTGAATTCTTGATTGAAAAATTTATCATATACAGAGGTTAGCGTCGTAAGGTATGTATATATATATATATATATGATTATAAGACAGAAATCCACTTGTGAATTGAAAATTCGCCTTGAATATTTGGTGAGTGTGTTATCCGCGCATAAAATATGCGACTTTCTATATGTAGGATAAATGTGTGCTGGATATAGTGTGTTATATATGTGTGTGGGAATGAGAAATCATCCATATAGAAGAGACTGGAACAAAATGTCACGCAAAATTCAATTTAAAAAATTGTTTGGCAAAAAAATTGATATATTAGGTACGATAAAAATTTTCCACAGTAAAATATACTCCGATTAAAATGCAAAATAAAAGAAACAGAAAAATATCACAAGAAAAGAATTACAGCACATATATCTCCAGACTCAAAAATAAAATCATCAATATTAATATTCTACTGTACCTACATACCATAGACGAAGAATAAGCTACAAAGAATGTCCTACTGTCTCTAAACAAGAATCATTCTTCAAACGATGAAATACTCTACTCTGCCATAACACTGTTTCCAAAAAGAACCAAAAATACAACCATTTATAATGGTAATTACGGCAGCAGCAAAAATGTAAAAATTTAGGATAAAAACATATATTAAACAACGCAGCCTTATAACGAAAATAAAAAATAAATAAAAACGCGTTTGAACTGTCCAAAAAGCAAATGTCAATGTGACAGATGGGCCAGTCTCCTCTAGCGATAAACAATCCTTTTTTCGTACACATCGTACGGTATCGTACACAATATCAATTAACGTGCACAAGAAACAATATACTGCCACGAGTTTTTGCGTGCAGGGCGGGTTATTATATAATATACTTTGAATAATCTCATGACTGATCAAGTCACTTTTTGGAGTAAGACAGAAAAAAATGTTGGAAAAAAACCAAAAATATGCCGTCAACAGTTGATGGACAGACCTGGCTTTAATAGACACAACTTTGGCCCCGACGGCCATGTTTTCTTTAACGTAGATCGGGCCATACACAACTTGGTCCCATACGGGCGGATTATTTGCACGATCCACAACGTCAATCTGTACCTCCACCGTTCTCGACAAGGGCGGGAAACCCTTGTCTTGGGCCATCGCCTCCAGCTTGTACGTCTCGCGCTACCCATAGGCATCATATGACACAAGAAAAGAAAAAGAAAAAAACAGCCAGGGTTAGTCAGGCATATTGCGTTTACTCCTCACGCAAGAAAAATCACAAAATAGCATCCTTTACGCTTTCCACCAAAAGCTTTTCAAAACGGTGTGAGCCAAAAAAAAGGAAAAAAAGTTCTTGCCTTTTTCTCTCTTGATTTCAAAATCAAAATCATTTTGCTGATGATTGATCTTTTTCTAATACATCATCATTGAAAAACGTTTTGTCTCGTAAGGTATTATAAAAAAAACTTGGTTTTCCATGGTTATCAAAATCATTATTGGAAAAAAGGGGAAAAATGTTATTGCGCCACATGGTCTATCGAGTGGCGAATTTTTGTTGAACTGCTGAAAGAGGCGCTGGAGGTGACGGGGCCCTGCAAAATTCGTGGTTCAGGTGTGGCATTCGTCGATCTCGTTGTTCTCTGGTACCTATATGTATCACTTACGCTATACCGTGTTAAACCTCTTTATATCAAATGTCAAAAAATGTGTTTAATCACCTGTAGTCAATTACATGGAAGTTTCGAATCACCATGATTATTGTAAAAAATGAATAATATGGTTTACTTTGTTGACTCGTACATTGCGTTATTGAGCTCGCACAACGGTTTTTTCGCTCGCGTAACTTATGTACTAGAGGTTGCACTTTGTCGTCTGGTACGTGATGAATGTGATGATGTAGGTTAACGTGTTATTATGTATACGTAGAGACAGATACAGAGAGGTAGGTTGCATAGACAAATAAGATATCCCATATATATATGAGGTGTTGACTTTACAGTATATAAACATGTTAATGAGAAGAAAAAAGGAAAAGATGTAATGAACTGATATATAATATGCATTAAGGATCGATATTAAAAGGATAACGTATAAGGAGCGATAAATTTATACCAGCGCGTAATACACACCATGCGTAACCACCATACAGCTTTCTATCTATTCAGAGTACCTTTTCAACGAGTTTTCTCTTAGCTTTCCATATCAGTTTGTGCGCACCCTTGCACACACTTTCTAATCCGATTAATTTACCGTTGATCGAAAAAAAAGAAATGGAAAAGCTGTATGCAGAGTAAACAACTGTGGCCAGAGAGATAAAGAAGAGGAAAACTGAAGACAAAGCTATACAGTTGTAACGTCGTGTGTCCTAACGGTCACTTTCTTTTTCGCCATTTCTTTTGTAAATTGTTTTTTTTTCTGGGTTTTTTTTTTTGGTTGTTGGTTCATCGTGGCATACAAACCTGGCTTTTATCGACGTCACTACAGTACCCACTGTGACATTTTCTTTGATGTGAATGGGGCCGTATACATTCTTATCCCACACAGGAGGTTTATTGTTTCGGTCTACGACGTCTAATTCAACGTCCACTTCGGCAAATGAGGGCGGTGTCCCTCTGTCGGAGGCGCTTACTCTCAGCTTATACTTCTCTTGCTATTGGCAAAATATTAACGTGCCGTAAAGTTACTCAACTCTATCACGGGTATTATAAACACTGTACAAAATTGTTGTTTGTTTTTTTATATCGATTTTAATTTATTCACCTTTGTTTTTTCTTTTGGCTCGTCTCTTATGGTTCTTTTTATCTTATGAATTGTAAAGAAAGGGATCGAGCTCGTTTCGTTCTTTTTATTAATTTTGAACGTGGAGAAACGATCTATTTAAAAGCCGGAATATTTACACATATGTAGCATTTCAATTTTTTTCAATTTGGTCGAGGTCTATTTTGAAACGTTTCTCCGGGTTTTATTGAAAATGCAAAATAAAAGAAAAACAAAGAGAAATGAAAACACATGAGCTATACATATTTTTTACAAAATAAAACGCCAGCTGGTATTTCATGAAAACAAAAAGTAGTCGCAGCATGCTTTAGGTTTACGAGGTCAAGAAAAAGATACCATCAATCCTGAGAGAAGTTAGAGAGGTTATTAAAGTTGAACGCAAAAAGTTTCACGAATAGAAATAAAATTGTATATATGTGAAAACGTTTACCCGTCACCCATAAAAATAACGTGTAAAAAGAAAATGCTACGACTATACTTGCCACTTTTCATCCAGACGCCATTGATTCTGGAACACTCAAGCAATTTACTTAAACAACAATTTCATGAGTACCAACTGACGTTCATTGTGCAAAACTAATAATTAATGTGGAAGCTGCAAGTAAATTTCAAATAAAATAAATTATCTTATGAAACTAAAATTAAAACTAAAATTCGATAATCTATAAGAAAGCAAATCGAGTATAGAAAAGGAAAAGATTAATTAAATGTACAGAAGAACAGAAGAACTGAACAACTAAAAAAGATTAAGATGCCATTACTACGTCGGTTAGTTTTGTTACTTCCTCGAGCAAATTGCCAGCACAAAGGAATTTTCCTACTTACTGGAAAACAGCCCTTTTTCATTGTTATCATCATCATCATCGTCATAATCATCATCATAATCATCATCATAATCAAATCCGAAGAAAGAAAATGGTGCAATGAACACAAACATAAACAATAAAAAATATTAAAATTAGTCGTCATTACGAAAATAAAAATTGGCAGGCATTTTGACCATGCAAGCAAGATATGCATCAAAAGAGGCAATGGAAAAGGAGGCAAGGCTTTCCGATTACCGATATGGATTAATACTTTCAGAGAGGAACAGAAGGATTTGGTTAGTTGGAATATTATTAAAAAAGACGACCCTTCATCCGGTTAGTATACATTTTGTCTTTGTTATTTTTTTCTTTTTTTTGGTTAACGACACTCAAAAACCGATGGACGTTATGCTTTTTTCTGTTACTTGGTCTCGACAGTCGTATGCTGCCCCAATCACAGAAGAAAAAATGTCACACCACGGACAACTTTTCTTTTTTTGTCTTTTACGATCTATTTCGTACACGAGAACGCTCTCTTAAAAAAAAATCTTATCTGTCAGTCGTTATGAATCGAAAAAAAATAAAAAGTAAATGGACATAAAAGAGAAAGAATGAAGAAAAACCAAAGGTAGAGGAAGTAATTAAAAAAGACGAAGAAAGACAGAGTCAACAAAACAAAAAGGAAACCAAACGTGAAAAAAAGAGAAAGAAATAGATGTGTGCGTATTTGTAAGTGCCTGTAACTGGAGGGAGAGGAGAAACAAAAAAGTAATTATCAAAGACATGATATGGAAAATCAGATAATAGATACAAAATGTAGTAATGAGTGGAAAAAACAAAAAGACAGAGAAAGAGAGAGAGAGAGAGAAAGAGAGATGAGTTGAGATAAAGGAGCGAGAGCTAGATCCGTTCCTGTAAAGTATTCAAAAAACACATTCATATAAAATTATGCAAGCATGTTCAAAAAATTATTTATGTCTGATGCACCAGAAAATGCGTAGAAGGTCGGTGTACACCGTACGTGGGGCTCAAAAAATGTCGTTCCCACCTGCTCCTGGAAGTTCAAAAAACATCACTTCCCTTTTGAAAAACAATTCACATTAGTTTTTTGGCTTACGAGAGAAAACATTGCTGTTATAATGCACACAGTTTCGAAAGCTCTTTTGGCTCTTAGACACAAAAAGGTCTAGAAAAAAGTTCTTAGCTTAATTATAAAAATTGGCACATGTTAGTAAATGCTGTTACTTATGTTAACGTTGCGTCTTCATTCTCTGCAATAGATTTTTCTTTTTCTTATTTTATTTTATTTTATTTTATAATTTTTTTTGCGTAAAACCAAAAAAATCTCAAGTTCATGCGTAAGCCAGGTTGCAAAAAAATTCTTGCAGATTTTCGTTCTTCCGTGGTTGTTGTCTGTGCATCATCAATGAAAAAAATCTTTCTGTCACGATTGTTTGAGACGTTATTAGTAGCGTACGCAAAGTCTTGTATCCCGAAAGATGGAAAAAATAGAGAGACGAACAAAGATGTCCGCTGCGTCAAAATTGGTAGTCCGAATGGTTGGTCGATTCAGGTTCGTAAAAGCGTTTAAGGAAATCAGGCATAGCTAATAAGTATGTACCATAGTGAAACACATTGTGCATGTCAATGGGAATGAAATTCTATACAAGTGCCGTAAAAAAGAAACTTATTCTCGTTGCATATTAGTGATATAAGGAAATAAGTATCGGTCGGAAATATTAGTACATAAGTATATCGATAATGTATAGCAACAAAATCAATATAAACTTCAGTCAACGTAGATTTTACTCAAATATGTTATATTGGAAACTGATATCCACAGTCATTATTATGCAGCAGGCTCTTCTTTTGAAAGAGGAACGTCTTGTTTTTTCTAGCAATAATTTACAGTTTATAGAATACTTTACATATAATACAGTGTAAAGAGCACAATTATTACTATCTAAATAATTATGATGTACAAAATCTACGGGGAAACTTGGTTATAATAAATATTATTATTTCAGTATCTAAATACTCTAAAGATCTTGAAAATATTAAAAATCATTTAATTTAATACACTTATTACGAAACGTAGATTGAATACATCATTATCAACTCTCAAAAAACGTCTTTCTCAATTTTCAAGAAAAATCTGTTGTTTCGAAAGATACTGCAGATCAAGTTCTAATTAAAATTTGGAAACAAACTTAAATGCAAGATTTAATTAACTGTATCATTGAAAAAACTTTCCAAAAAATTTTCATAAAAAATACTTTTGTTATCGATAGTTTCCAGATTTTAAATAGAATAGCTGAAAATAAATGGCAATGTTAAGCTGTAGATGTATCTTAAAAATTGAAAAAGCTCCAAAGTAACCCGATCAATTTAATCTCAACGAGAGTGAATTTTGACCGTTCGTCTTTCAAAATTGTTAATATATGCAATTTTGTCAACATCCTGCCTGAGTTGAAAGAAAAAACGATGCCAATCACAGATACTCACGTCGAGCGGCTTTTTAAGAACGATCCAACCGGACTCCGGTTGAATCTCGAAATACTCGAGATCCTTCTCGTCGTTCGGTGCACTCAAAGAATACACGATTGCCCCATTGTTGTCAGCATCCTCATCGGATGCCGAGACTCGCAAAATATTCGTGCCAATGCTAGCATCTTGCTTCACGTTTTCTACGTATTTCTACAAAGAAAGGCGAACATTGAAAATAGTGGTCTATATGGTTGAACGAATCTCGAGTGGGTTGGGTTAATACATACTTGACGATCAAAAAGCGGTGGATTGTCGTTCACATCTGTGATCTCAACGGTGAACGAACAAACGCCTTCTAACGATGGCTCACCCTGGTCGGTTGCTTTCACCGTGACAGATACAAATTTACCGTCATCACCCTCACGATCGAACACCTGAAAAGGAAATATCACATATGAGTATTTCACAATATACTTATTGTACTTGATATACAAAGTATTGATACAAATCGAACATAAATATTTAATGATACATTGGCACAGTTGGAAAAATGATAATATAACACACTAAAAAACCATATCATGATTGCATATTCTAAAACTTTTCTATTCTTCTTAAACCGTCTTGTTTACGAATCTCGAATAGGTTAAGTAATTTTATTTTTATATGTTTTGAGTTTAACTAGGAATAAGAATTTAATCAAAAAATTTTAATTTCGATACAATTAGATGATACTTTCAAATAAAATTAAGCCTTTGTAGTTATGGCAAACTAGAATGTCCATCTCTGTTAGGAGATTGACTAACCTTGTTTGTGACAACCTCTCCAGTCTCTTCATCAACCGTAAATTTAGTACCCTTCTGATTAGGTTGTTGTACAATTGAGTACTTTACTTGTCCATTGACACCTTTGTCCTGATCGGTAGCTTGTACTTTGATAACAGGACTACCGTTAGTGGCGCCCTCCTCAACTTTAGGATTATAAGTACCACAGTCCTTGAATACAGGCTTATTGTCGTTGACGTCGGTGATAAAGACCACAACGACAGCGGTGCTTGTATGGATGTTTTTATCACCGTTGGGACAACAGGCCCCATCATCCATAGCAGTAACATTCAACTCGTACTTATCACGGTCAAGCTTGATTTCCTTACTATGCAGACGAATTACACCAGTGATCTCCTCGATGACGAACTGGCCAGACGATATACCACCACCAACGAAACCGAAACGTACATTATCACCGTCCTTATCAGAGGCGACAACGGTCGTTACAAGAGTATTTGGTCCTGCGTTTTCATCGACGTTTGGCGTGTACACTTGTTGCGAGAATTTCGGTTCTTCGTCATTTTTATTCTTCGTGTAGATGCGTACCGTTGCCGTGCCACTTTTCGGAGGTTCACCTAGTAATTGACATTAATTAGAAATCGTGCATTGAATCTTATAATTTATAATATTCTTTTACGATGTGAAATTATTTTTCAATCTTTAGAAAGGTAAAGATCTACTTTTACAAAGCATTATAAGAATTTTTTATATCAATGGGTTCATCTTTTTAATATTTAATTTTGATAATTATTAACTAACCGCGGATTTTACTTGTGCTTTTTATAGCCACCACCAAACATGCAATTTTATCATTCAAATGTTTAGTACTATCGTGTAATTTCCAATCAAGTAGAAAATGTAACTTTAATTTTACTAAATTACAGTGCTTTAGTAATTATATTCCTTTCAATGACTCGGAACTAGAATATCTGGACTATCAATCTAGATATCAATTCATCGTACATGGAAAATCATTGCATTTAATCAAATTTGAATAAATGATAAAAAAATTTAGAAATATTTGGTCAATTCAAATAACGTTGTTTATTTTTCATCTATCTTTAACTCTTACCTTTGTCTTTTGCCGTTACTGTGAATTCATAATAAGCATTGTTATTATCAGCATCTAATTGTTTGTTATTGACTATAACACCAGCTGCATCCACACTAAAATGATCGTCCGATACTAAATATTCTATTTCTGCATTCGCTCCTGAATCTCCATCAGTAGCTTTGACTTTCAGTATACTTGTCCCTAATGGAATATCTTCATCAACATTGTGGGCTTGATAATCTGGTAACTCAAATTTGGGTGCATTGTCATTGATGTCCGTGACTCGTATTGTCAACTGTAAAAGATTATCAGAATTAAAATCTGCTCATAAAACAAATTTAAATATCGTCAATTCCAAAGTATTTGTTATTTTCAATTGTTCCTTTTCAAATGTCTATAAAATTGTTATTTTTAAGTATTTTACCGTGACTAATAATGTATTTTTAAATACCTCAACAGAAGTAGAGAACCCTCCTGAATCTTCTGTAGCTGTCACTGAAAGTACATAAATATGTGGCTGTCGCACATCTTCGAAATCTAATTCTTTGGCTAGTTTGACTATTCCAGAAGATGGTTCAATACTGAAAGTTCCTGCGCCTTGACCGTCGGCATTCAAAGTGTATCGAATGTCCCGATCAGCAAAAGATTTAGCTTTGACCGAAATAATGCTGAAAAATACAATCGATTAATTGTTTTGCAGCAAAATTTTATAGATTGGAGATAATGAAGTTTCTAGAAGATAAACATGTTCTGTATGCTAAAATGAGCGCTTAAAGAAATTTTACACTAAGGCTTAATTCTTTAAATGATAATAATTTAAGAAAATAATCTACATAACCCGCTTACTTATTTGAAAACAAAAAGCATACAAAGCTCTAAAAAATAAAAAAAAAACATTTAATAACAGAAAAAGGGAGAAATAAAAGTTTGATAGCACTAGAAATATACACAAAAAATCAACTCACTCGGAATCCTTTTTCTTATTTTCCGGTATTTCCGCCTCGTAGGCCGTAAGATAGAATTGTGGGGCTCGCTTTCCACCAACAATCGACAGCCTTTCCTCGGAAGTCGACTGATATCGCCTCTCGTCGATACGACCATTCTGGTCCTCTGCCTTGACGTAAAGAACGTACTCCATGTCAAGTTGAAACGGATCCGTGCCACGGGTTCGTACTACTCCTGAACGTTCATCGACCTCAAATCTGCCACCAGCTGTAATTCGTTAAAAATTAGTATTTCTATATAAAGATGACTGATGAAATCATGCGACAAATAAAATATTGCGCCTTCATTACACGGGTTTCCCGACCTTCATCGAGCAAATTTTATTAAATGTTAAGAAAGGTTAAAAAGAGCAGTAATAAATATCAACACCTTGTTTTGACATTCGATACCGATGAAAATGTACGATAATAATCTTGTACGATAAAATCGGTTTCATAATTTCCAACTCGATTTTCAATAGTCTGCAAATTAAGTCAAACTAGCGTTATTTAGCGTGCTGCGCGATCTTTTTCTTTTATATATTTTTTTTCTTATTTATTATATTATTTAAACTTTTAGCATGATAATTTTTTAGATTTTGATGGTATATACACACATAGATAAATCATGCTGTTTGAAATACGCTTTTTTTACAAAAATCGATGGAATTTTACTCATTTCAAAATGTATTGGTAGAATTATCCAAAAGACTAATTAAACCTATGATTGAAAAAATGCACTAAGCTATTAAACTATTATTATATAATACTGAACCTTACGAACATAATAGTAGTGGTTATGGCCCCATTCTTATATTAGTATACATTTAATAGTGTGTTTTTTATTCTATTAAAAACCAAAATCAATTTTATAACAATATTAATTTTAATATCACAGATGGTTATAAAATTATTGATTTGTATTTTTTAAAACATAACCTCTGTTTTTAAAAAAATATTTATTAATGGCATATTTCCATTATTGCAGATTATTGTCCATTCTGACTATTCATAAATTTAATTTACTGCTGAAATATAAATCTCATACTTTTCGATTTATAATTCAACTATTTCAAAGTATACAATAATTCGAAATTTCATCGCATCAATTAATCATAATACTGCAAATCTGCGATACTTCTCTTTTTTAAAATAGAGAAAAAACAAATATATAATATAACAAACGAAATATATATTGCCTTAATCTGGTGTAAAATGATATGAACCTATTACTATCTATCGGCTTAAATTAATCGAATCTAATTTACGTAACAAAATAATATATAACTTACTGCGATCTCTCACGATGAAATAATGAATGTTGCTATCTGTGTCGGGATCGCGCGCCTGCAGAGTGAACACATGTGTATTCGGAGGAGCGTTAAGTTGTACAACGGCTTGCATTGGCAGGGGCCTATTTATGAAGTACGGCGGTTCATCATTGACGTCCTTTATGTTGATAATGACGCGCTGATTATCAGTATCTGTATTATGAAAACACATTGTTAATCAATTATAGACTATGAATTTTCTAATATTTTAATGTAAAATTAACCAAAAGCACATGCATTGTTCTTCATTATACTTCCAAGCGTTTTTTTTTAATTATACAACTCGAATAAAGTTTGGAAATAGTTGTTATTAAAATAAAAACGTGACGTGCATTACTTTTTTATATCAAGAAATCTTTTTCATTCATGCACGTATCGGCTTAAAGAAAATCGATACTCCAAACACGAGTTTGCCAATGTCAAAGTTACGTAGCAAGTCTCATAAAGGAATAATTGGCTTATGATATTATTGCGGATGAACACACGTGTACAACACTAAATAAGTTTTGAAAAACAGATAAAAATCTGCGTAAAAATGTTACTTACAGTGATAACCTTTAGATGCCACAGGTCGGATAAAAAGGAGAAAAGAAAAACATGTGATATTAGTATACAGTGTCAAAAGCATAATTTGTTAGAGCTTTTATATTGGAAAATATTTAATCACAAACTCCCACAGATCATAAATTTTGATCGTCTGTATTCATATTATTGCGCCAGCAAGTTTTCCCCGGCTATATCTCACGCTCCATTCAAGTTTTACTTTTGTGTTAGTTCCTTACATATTTCGTCTTTAAGTGTATAACCAGAAAAGTAACATGTGCATAACGACAGCCTAAGCTATGACGCGAGCGTGTACAATGAAAGTAACACAAACACCAGTATTGTGTGTATTCCGCGTGTATAAAAGATCGAAGTCGCATGAAAGGAGCTTTAGAGTGTGGTGCTTCAAGAAAGTAAAAGGGGGGAAATGATAAAATCGTGCGCCTCGCGAAGCGAAGCAGAGAGAGAAAGAGAGCGCGAAAAATCCCATAAGAGATCGCATATTATATACAAGAAGAAGATTGTGCTTTGTTTTTAATTAAAATTATAATACCATCTCTGGGCCGGCATATTATAACCTCATCTGGACAAAAAAGAGCACGGAGTGTTTTTTTTTCCCACGATGGTTTCCATGAAGAATACAACAAAAATAAATGAGATATTTTTTGTTGTGCTCAAATTTCAAAGTACTTCGAAGTATTATCAAGGTACATAGAATATTACTATAAAATGCATTTATCATTGATAAATGAATCAACGTAAACATTAAGATCAATTATGTATGTTTTTCATGTTTCTATGAAAATCTGCTAGATCAGCGAAATGAGTGAGATGATAACATTTATATTAGCGCGATCGACAAGTCCATGTAAATAATCGAACTTTAATCCAGCGTACCTCATTGTTATAACATATACCCGAAAAATAGGTTAGGGGTGCGCAGCAAAAGGTAAAAACGTCAATATCTTACCTGCATTGGTAATGGTAACCCAAAAATCAATGGTCTTTTCCGGTCCGAGCTCCTCGTAATCCCACTTCTGCTTAACTCGGACTGTGCCGTTTGGCCCGACAGTAACCCACTTGTTCGGATCTCTGATTTTGTACGTCTCCCTCTCGTTTTCCTTTTCCAAATGGAAAACAAGTTTGCCTTCGACGTCACCCTCCGACTCGGTGAATTCGATCTTCTTCGTCGGTCTCACAGCTCTTGTCACTCGTCTTTTCTTTATCCTGTGTACCTCCGGACGATTCGCATCTTCGATCATATTTTCTTGATCTGTGCGCTCTTTACCGTCAACGTCATCCTGGCTCGTGGTCTCCTCGTGCACTTCTTCGTCGACTCTCTCGGGTCCCGAAGTTAAAAATCTGATAATAACTCTGGCAGGCGACGGTGCCGTCCGACTCGGAGTTCCAAGATCATGCGCCTCGACCAGGAACTCACTTTCGGTATCGACATCAGATGCCACTTCGGGTTCACCGGCAAGCAATAACTCGCCGGTCTGGGGTACGATGATGACAAGGTTCGTCGGTGTGATGAGCTTGTAAGCCACTTTGTCGCCGTCGGCGTCTTTGGCGAGCACCTTGCCGAGAGTAGCGAACCTCTTCCACTGAGGCACGACGTTGCCGTCCACGCCAGCACGCAGTTGCTCGACGTTCGTTGGCGATATCTCGAAATTGTAAACCGCCTGCTCGAACACCGGACTGTTGTCGTTGACGTCCAATATCTTGACCTGACCTTCGATCCGCGACGTGCTGATGTAGTCGCTATCGGATGCGTGCACCACGACTTTGCGAATAGGCTTGGCCTCGCGATCCAACGGACGAGCAGTGACTACCCTGACGCCCTGCTTAGGACTCCTCAGTGTGAGATTGAAGCCAGTCTGCTTGAAGTGAGTCTCCGCCAGAGCGAACGGCCGACTTCCGTCGTCTTCGGGCTGTATACTATAGTGCACGGGAAAATTGCCCTTGGCTCTGAGTACCGGGAATTCTTCTACGGCTGTGCCGGCCGGTGCATTCTCCTCGACCTCGCCATCGCCAAGTTGCTCGTGCGAGAAGGTGAGCATGTTGCGCCTGTTAATCACGTACAAATGAAGATCGTGGGTCTCGCTCTTGTTGGTTTGCTCCTCGAGGATGATGAGATTGACGGGGCGATTGACGAGCGGCGTGAGATCGGAGGTGGTCATGACAATACCATTGTCGAGGACGGTGAAGAATTTGGAGAAGCCAGTCTCTAGGAGGCGATAACTGGGCGGCTCTCGACCGTTGGCGCCACCGTTGAAGTGCATCACCTCGTAGCCCGGATAGACGTCGTGCGGCAGCACTAGTTGCGTACGCGTCCTGTTATTGCCGAAATCCGCATAGTTGTTGCTGCTCCAGGAGCCGGCACTCGCTGTGGCCGCCAATGCGCCGAGCAGCAGCGCCAGCAGCAACGGACCTCGCCACATCCTCGTCATTGCGCGCTGGCTTGCTTGGCTTTACTGCGGCATTAGTGTTGATTACTCCGCCTGCAATCATACGGTTAACCTATCGTTAGTTTGCATGCGTACACGGGCATGTTTCGGTTTTTTCAATTGCGTGAGATCGTGCGTTCGAAGTATGAGCGCGCAGTTTGCAGCCACGGTATTTTTTCTTATTTTTATTGCGAAAAAACAGTCTGATCGAGAAATTATGAGGCGGTATATATGTATGCCTGATTTATAGAAAAGGTTCGTCAAAGTCATGTTTATTCTTGCGCGCGGTTCGCTTGTACGAGAAACTTGTTGTTGCGATCGTTTATTACGTGTTTAATTAATATATACGCTCTGTTATGAGTTGCAGTTTTCAGTCGTATATTGTAATATTCAATGACGACCAGCTCGTAATGGGAAGTCATTTATTGTGTCTGTCTGCTAGCTAAAAATAATTCAAACGCTTTGAAAGAAAGTATTGCACAAGCTTTGCGTAAGCCAATCGTCTTGAATAATAAAAATTAATTTCATTAAATGATAGATAAATTCTTTGAACTCATCAGTTACGGTAGTGACTCGAAAAAAAAACCGTGAGTCAATTACAATCAACAGAGAAAAATCAATTACAAAGCGACGCCAATGGATACGTTTCCCGAAGTCATAAATCACTCTAGCCGCGGCGCAATAGCGAAGAAAGAAAGAAAACTCAACTGAGGAAGCGTCTAATACAATTCCATTCAATGTCGAAGTTGAGATTCAATCGCGCTGTAACAGCAGCAAGCAGCAGCGAGCAGCAGCCTCGTCCTACATTAATAATTTCTCAATCGATCGTATCATCCTCAGAGCTAATTGTCCAGTTGCTTCCTTCCCATCGTCACTCTCTCATTCTCAATCCTTTTCATTCGTGCGCTCCGCCCACAGGGCGCGCGCGTTTCTTTTTATTGTTATTTTTTTTTCAATGTTCGCGCCGATAGCCATCGCGTGGCAAAATCCGAACAATGTATGTCCGCTCACCGGAAGTAAGTGTGGATACCACACACGAATTTGTACTATTGTTATGTCCTAGTGCCAGCGGAGTTGCAGACCGGATACGAGGTCAATCGAGGGGACTCGCGTGTATGTATATATGGAATTATAATGCCAAGAGAGAAGGGGAGAAAGTAAGAGGAAATGCGGGATCTTACGGCAAGTTGCGCTCCATGCAATATAATGGATTTACGAGAGTTGGATAGGAAAAATTGGATTATGCTACGATATGGCAAGAAGATATGTCAGTTTGGGAAAGTGCCTCCTATTTTTTTCCTTTTCAAATATACGATCTCGTCGAGTCAACTCCATTTCAAGCATACTTGCGTCAAACCACTCAAATTTTTACGCGCAAAGTAACATTTTTTCTACCTACTTGCATCTATATGATATAATTTAGTGATAACTTATTCGTGTCAGATCAACGGCGTGTACATATGGCAAATTGAAACTGGTAGAGTGATGATGAGACAAGAAGATGTCGCATCTATTACGTTGTTGAAACAATTCATGATGGCAGCATTACATCAATTTAGACGTATCAATTTTGAAATGCGCTATAAGTATCATGTTTATAGAGACACACCAATCGCGAACAAGTCAGCATTGAACAGTTTAAATGACTTTGGAAGGGATCGTAATACACCACGACTCGCGCGTGGAACGTCATCATTGTTATTAATAAACTGAAATATTATTCAAATGCATGGCACTTGTATCAATTAAAATTCTCAATGTTGCATCCGCAGTCCATCACTACAAGTGCAATCAGCGAGAGATAATTTGAAAGGTAATAATTAAAACGAAAGAGAGAAAGAGAGACAATCCTGAGTCTGTTTTTTTTTTTAATTACGACGCAATTGACGCGCGGCGATTGCTTCTTCTTTTATTTCTTTTTTTGACTGCTATCATAAAAATTAACGGAAGGAAGACGTTGTTTGAGCTCAATCTGTTAGGTTACAGCATCGTTTATTGATGGTACACACAATGTACAGCGGATGATTGCAACTTCCTTTACAAATTATTTCTCTACGCTGTACGGCCTTCAGTCTACGAGATATATCATAAAATTTCTTAATCAAACCACTCCCCGTGCATTCGCCACACATGTGCTTGTTCAATGAGACTCCAAGCTTACTCGTATGCAAGTCACACACCGCGAGAATAAAAAGTGACAAAAAGTCGAGGGCAGGCTTCAATTAAAGAAGAGAGAACTCAGCACTGAAGAGCAAGAGAGAAAGAACGAACGAGAGAGAGATAGAGAGAGAGAGAGAGAGGGAACATTTTATTTCGCTCGACATCTCAGCAGCCGTACCAGTAGCTCAATAACAATAATCAACGCGGAGCGTTCATTCATCGGCATACGTAGAGACAACGCAACGCTAAATTATCCTCTGGGCCGTACTATACGGGAGAGCGAGAGGGGCGTATAATGTAGCACTCGAGAAAAAAATACAACTTGCGCCAGATGTTGGCGTTGCAGTATTATGTTTTGTTCGCGCCTGCGTAATTTTACGCTCGCGATTATCGAAGCGTTCTAATAGAGTTGTTCAGCACGATGTCAAAATGCGCAAACACTGTAATTCTAACGCACGCGACGAATGAGAAGAAAAGGAGGAGAACGAACGAAAGAGCGGAACATAGCAGGCTTGCAAGAATAAGAGACTGGCATGGTGTATAGAAATGTAAATCTGGGTGTCGCGCATGATTATCGGCGATTATTCACGCGTGGATAATGCACCGCGTCCCTTTGCGTCAAGGCGCGCGTGCGCGCAACGCTGTTCGACATCTAAAAATAGTCAACGTCCCCTCGGCCGCAGTAAGGATTTCTAGTCGTGATGCGCGTGCACACGACAACCCCCTCGTGTACAATGCACGCGCAAGACAGACGGAGAACCGCGCCGCAGATGCCGGAGAAACTCGAGAACCTAATCCCTGCTTCGAGCGTATTGAGTAACTGTACGTGCGAGAAAGATAGGTAGATAAATAGAGACAGACAGACACAGAGAGAGAGAGAGAGAGAGAGAGAAAGAGAGAGAGAGAGAGAGGAAAACGATACACTGAAGATGCTTAGTTAGCGAACACACGGTCTTCCTCATTTGCCTTGACTTGATTCCTCTCGCGCGCCACAAAAAAAAAATGAGAGGATATAGTCGCGCTCGCTCTCTTCGCGGCTCCTTTCAATTCAGCGACGGTTGAACTAATTATGAATGACGGCGGGAAGCTTTTATTCTCTCTGCGATTAATGAGAATTCACGCCGATAAAACGGTTCTTTTTTACCGATGACGGCCTTGCTGAGTATAATTCAGCTGATAAATAAGACTAATTTTGTGAAAAAGGCTAATATTGAATTTTGATGATTCTATCACAGGAAAGCTGATATATTCTCTGATAGATACATATAAAATGAGGAATTAAATTTGAATTTATTTTATTTGATATTGAGAAATAAATAAAAGTGCACGGTTTAGAAATAAAAATAAACGAGTGCCATTCACTTTTACCGCTAAGATATAAATCAAGTAAAATATATTAACCCACTCAATCAAAGTAACTTTTCTCCAAATCCTGTAAAAGCTACAAGAAGATGTAAAAGCTCAGTCAATCATTTTAAATTCATTCACTTAGACAGTATCTCCGTTTCGTTTGACCACTGCGAAACATGGCCAGTCATTTGAAGTAATGAATTTGTCTCGCACGGTTAGTTAAGTTGTATCGGAAGATTGATTTTCTTAGGTGCATCAGATCGCTTAAAAACAATACTCAAATTGAACGAATCAAGTGGGCGATTTGAAAAATGTACTCTCCCGATGAGAACGACTTTGAAAAGAAAAACGAGACAGCCTTTCTCTTTTGATGGATTCGTATCGAGCAGCCATAATTGAAAAAGCCGTCGCCACGTCTTTTGTCAGTCCCGTTTCCCAAGCGCTTCGCCGAACCTTGCAGTGCTCTAAACGAAATAGGTGGGATGCTAGTGCAGCAAGTGGCGATAGGGGAGTTCGGTGAGTCGTTTTAGCAAGCAATCGTCGGCGCTTCTATTCGGACTCGATGACAAAGTCCCCGTGGCTTACACGGTTAATAGGCTTAGCGCGAGCGCGGGCGTGGCGCTACAATGCTTATAACGGTGGTCGGTCCGATTGAGCAGATTGCGCGCGCGCCTCGAATTCGCTTCAACGCCCAGAGCGCTGCACACTTTATTTCGTTCTTTTTCCGCGTTGAGATTTACGATCGTTACCTGTGCTACTACCACTTGTTATGCAGTCGATATTTATACGTGGCGACTGTGTGCCCTGCAGCGTGTTTGTTAGTGTTTCGTGAGCGTCGTCGAGATTGATGCTACACGCAACTTGCTGACAATTCACTGCGAACACTGCACTGTTGCACTCGATAAGTGTTGACAAATTGTCGGGCGGTGGTGATTTAGGAACGTCCGTGTTTGCTGCCAATTATTTGTAGAAAACAATTTATCGACCTAGTGGAACTACTGTTACTACTACTACTATCAGAAATCAACAAATAAATCCCGTATTGATTCAATATTACAATGTTATGCGCATTATACAAAATAGTAAAAAAAATAAATAAAACTATCTTGTTCGTAAAAGCCTAAAAAACACAGAAATTTGATGAAAAGAATCCACGGCAAATGAAATAGCCCGAAAGCTAAGTATGACAGAACTGCCTAGCAAAGCGTCTGGTCGTGAAAAAATCGTTAAACGCAGACGTCTTGGGAAAAAAATAAACCAATTGGCACCGACAAGCTCTGTGAATCGGATTACCCCGCCCACCAAGCAAAGAAAATAAGTAAAATCGTCTCGCGGGTAAACAAGTTATAGTCGTACGTGTCGAATCCTACCGTGAGAGATTCGCGCACAAGGCTGATAATGTAGTCGGCGGAGGGATAGCTCGCCGTCCATTTTTTGTTTTTATTTCGCAGAGGCGTCGCTCGACCGCGAGTCCGACAAGAAACTGATTTAAATGTGTAATCCGAGAGAGCGCGTCTCACTGCCGGCTGGTTAATTAATTCCAA